TTAGCACCGAATAAGCCTCACAAGTCGTGCCCGAAAACACACCCAAAAAACAAGGGCTTATTAAGCTGAGTATTAAGCGGTGATTAAGCAAAAACGAAATAAGCCCTTATTAAGCTAGCTAATAAGCAACTAATAGCTAGCTAATAAGCCCTTATTTTTTTCAGGCTTACTATTCGCTCGGGGGGGGGTGCGTGGGGGGGGCCGGCACGCACCCACATGATGATGATTGCCCATACTATGTTGGGGGTTCCTTTAAAGGGATCCTTAAAGGGGTCTATATAAGGGATACTATAAGGGTACTATCATCCATGCGCCTCGGCGATGACTATTCATCGGAGGCCAAAAGGGGTTTTAGGGTTTAGGGGGTTAGGATTTAGGGTATAGGGGTTATAAAGGGGGGGTGTTAGGAGGCCAAAAGGTGTTCTAGCCTATGGGGGTTTATTAGGGATTCGGGTTCCCATAATAGGGTTCATACTAAGGAATCCCTACCCCAAGCATCTTAAACCCCGCTTTTGGCCTCCCATCAACTATAAGACCTTAAGAATAGCACATTATACTATTTTGGGGGGTTCCTTTAAAGGGAACCTTAAAGGGGTCTATAAGTGATACTATAAGGGTACTATGATCGAAGGGCCTTAATGATTGCCTGTACTATTTTGGGGGGGTTCCTGTAAAGGGATCCTTAAAGGGGATCTAGAGGGGATACTACAAGGGTACCATGATAGAAGGGCCTTCATGATTACCTATACTACTGGGGGCTTACAGTACGTACAGTATGCCCCCCAAAACCCTATTCCAATCATACGGCCACTGCAGTCCTAGGTAGTAGTAGGGAGACCCCTTAAAAAAGGACCCTTCTCAGCCCGACTCCTGGCTCTCTTAAACGGGAGCTTACCCCCAAGTGTCCCCCCAATCCTTGCGCCTGGGTTTTAGGTACGAATCGTTCCAGCCTTTAAAGTACAACGTGCCTCGGCGAGGCCCTAAACCCTGAACTTTAGCCTAAACGGTGGCGAGGGGTGATCTGTAGAATTTGAGGGCTGGGTTTCGGATTCAGAGTTTTGGCGGGTTTAGGGTTCAGGGGTGCACAGCTGTATAGCTTTTTCGCTGGGTTGTTAGTTAAGTGCCCTTCCTGTACCCTGACCTAAACGCCCAAAGCTCTAAACCCCAACACAAGGGATATCCTCGCAGGAAACTTTACAGACACTAAGGGAACACTATTCTACCGAACTCCGTAGGCCTTTTCAGCACTGAGGCGTTGTCCTTCGATCGCGTCAGTGGCATTTGGTGCATCAGCTCACAGTGCTCAGGTGAGGGATGGAGTATTTGTAACCTTTAGGGCTGACTATAGGGCTTCATGGATTTAGGAATAAGGGTTCAGGTCATTACGATGATGATCATAACTGTGGTTATGGTAATGTTTGCCAGCATCAGTGTCATCATGTGTGTTGTTTGGCATTAGCTTTGATGACGAAGATGATGATGAGGACGAAGATGAGCACTGATTATTCGGTTGTTGTTGATGGGTTGGTTGGGGTGGGGGTCTCTAGGATTCACGGTGATTGTGAGTGCGGGGCATTTTAAAGTTTTTAAAAGTCTTCAAAAGCCAACTCTGTCGAAAAAGCCCTGTGGATCTAAACCTTGTGGTTCTGGTTCGGTGCAAAAGGGCAATGGTCATATGTTTGCTTACTGCTTTTGGGGTTCAAGGTTGTAGCGCGTTTCACAAGGTTTTACGATTCCTGGGTCTCTGGCGAGTCACTGGCGAGTTAAAGCTTGTGGGTTATAGCATGTTTTGGTTCAGATGTCCAGCTCGTTTTTCTTGACAGGGGGTTATTGGTGGTTCACTTAATACCAAACAGTATTACGAGTACATGCCTATCGCGGTACTCGAAAATTCAGCCTACAAGAGCCCGAAACGCACCGTAAGCCCTCGCAAAAGTCTCTAAGCTTCCCCGCCCGCGAACACCCGCAAATGAGAAATTGCAAGTTGCGGAGCAAAAGATCTCGTCCACATACTAAACCAGACGCGCTTGAAACGCCCTATTCGGTTTAGGGATAGGGAAAATTTAAATCCCCACTGTACCTGTCCTTGCGTCCTGAGAAGCTCTTGAACTCCTAAATCCCTAGTCTCCTAAACCCTAAACCCTAAAGATCCCTAGTCCCCTAAACCCTAAACCCTAAAGATCCCTAGTCCCCTAAGCCCTAAACCCTAGAGATCCCTAGTCCCCTAAACCTGAAGCCGCCGGCTTCGGCCAGTTCCGGTTTCCGTGGATCCGAATGATGCCGGCTACGCCGATCCGGTTGGGATCAGCCTCGGTGCCTTGGATGTGGGGCCTGCTCCTCGGCTCAAGATTCAGATTCAGATTCAGAGTATGACGACCCTAGGCGGGTCTTCAGCCTTGCTTCATGGGTGCCTCCGCCACAAGGGCCAGCGGGCCCTCATGTAAGCAACTTAAATGCAGATTAATGCAGCCAAGTAAAGCAATCCTGTTTTGCAGACTCAAGAAGACTGACTATAGTCTCATTAGGAATTGCTTTTTTTTGTTCATATACCCAAGAGAATATTAAAAAATATATTTTCATTATGGTTCTGAGGGGGGCATAGAAAACGATGCGAGCTCTAGGGTTGAGGGGTGGAGGGTACAGGGTTTCGGGATTTAGGCTCTCGGGTATTAGGCAGGGGTCTGAATAATTCGTCATGGTATTCCCTCATGGCCCCGTAAAAGTTCTGCTACATCTTACACCCCAACTGATTTCTTACGGTTCAGGCCCCTTCCTTGGGATTTGGTAACCGTTGAGGATGCCGATGCCGACAGGTGGAGTTTTGGGTTCTAAGCAATTCTAAGCCCGCAGCCCATAACTTGTTTCACAGCAGGCTTCAGCTAAAAAGTCACACAGGGCGTTACAAGGGCTTGGTGCATTTTTTGGTAAGGCAAACCCGAAGCCCTAAACCCGAAAGACTGTCTTTGACACTGTCTCTGCGCGGTAGACCGGTAGACGCTGTCGAGCTTGGGGCTCAGGGCTTTGACTTCAGGCTTTCGGCTTAGGATTCTCAGGCTTCGGTTTCAAGAGTTTAGGGATTCAACGCCATCAGTCTTAAAGGGGTTAAGGATTAAGGGTTTCAGGGTTTAGGAGTTTAGGGTTTAAGATGGCCTGAGGATTAGAGGATGAAGTGTTCAGGATTTCGGGCTAGGGTTGTTCAGGCTTCAGAAATCGAACAAGCTTAGGATTGAGATATCTTTGGCCCTAGGACCTTGCCGCCTTGCCTATAGTCTAGTCTCCATTGTAGTTCCTTTTTTTGGTTAACCAAAATCTCTATTACAGCATCCTAACCATAAGACTGGTTAAGCAAAAAAGGGAACTACAATGGAAACTGTCGGTGTTTCCTAAACCCTAAAGCCCCAAAGCCCCCATATCCTCAAGCCCTTTGGTGTTTAGGCACTGGAGGTCTTTAGGGCTCCCGGAGCTGTGAGGTCCCCCTATGGTAGTTCTTTTTGTTAAGGGTCTTGGGTTCACGGTTTAGGTTTAGGGTTTAAGCTTAGGGGTGGCTTAGGGTCACACCCTAAACCCTAGACCCTAAACCCTGAGCCCGTGGATATGCTTCTGAATGCATACAGAAGCTTGAACCCCGAGTTCTGCTCTGTTCTGTTCTGGTCTGTTGTTGGAAGTGTCCGATGACGCACTCTCGTGTTCGAAGCCGTAATATGGGGGCCTAAAGAATCACCTATACAATTTTGGTGGTTCCTTGTTATAATTATAGTATCATGGGCCCCCAAACCTTATTCTACTTATTAAGGCTCCTATATTATACTACCCTAATAGTACCCTAGTAGTGACCCTTATAGTATCCCTTTAAGGAACCCTAGTCCAATTTTTTAAGGCTCCTACAGTAGACACCCCACTAGTATCCTTGCAGTATCCCTTAAAGGAGCCCTATTCTACTGATTAAGGCCCCCCCTAAACCCCTAAACCCCTAAACCCTAAACCCCTAAACCCTGAACCCTAAACCCCTAAACCCTAAACCCTAAACCCTAAACCCCTAAACCCTAAACCCCAGACACCTAGAGAGCCGAAGGTTTCCGACTTTGACGGCAACTTCGAGGCCAAAGGCGCGCGGGGCAGCCCCTCTTTTCGAGAGAAGCTTTGGGGGACCCTCCGATTTTTGGACCCTCTTTGGGAGGGCCAGGTTTTGGGTTTAGGGTTTTGGGTTTTGGGTTTTTTTGTTTAGGGTCTAGGGTTTAGGGTTTAGGGTTTAGGGTTTAGAGTTTAGGGTTTAGGGTTTAGGGTTTAGGGTCTAGGGTTCTTGTTGGGTTAAGTTATTAAGGGCCTTTGCTTTGCATTTAGGGAATTTTAGAGTCAAGGGATTTCGGGTTTTTACAGGACTCGCGTGGGCTACGAGGCATGAGCCCGACATGCATGTGGCGCCTGCATCTGAGCCCCGAGACTTCAGAGACGCCAAAAAGCACATAAGCACAAGCATTTTATGGTGATATCCCTACCTTCTTGGGCTTCATTATAAGGGGATTTATATGGGATATCCCACCTTATTGGGCTTCATTATAAAGGGTTGTATATGGGAGATCCCTATGATAATTATTGCTTATGTGCGTTTTTGGGGCCATAGGGTACCCATCCCTGGGGTCGGCGCAACCATCGCGACCAGCACCAGAACGGTTGACGATAGAAATCCTGCATGACCCATAATAAGGAATATGCCATATTTCTCATAATAAGGAATATACCATACATAATAAGGAATATACCATAATTCCCATAGCTTAGGGTCCCAAAGGTAACGCAGGATTTATGTCATCAACCGCAACACATCCACCACCACATCCTCTATGACCAGCAAAATCAGGGTAGTGTCATCTAAACCCTAAACCCCACACCCCGAAATCCGAAACTCTAAACCCTCATCACCCGTAATTATCGAGTATGTCCAATGTCCAATGTCGCTCACCCTGAGATGGTTCCAGGTGTCGGGGGAGCTGCCGGACAGAATGGCAACAAGTATCTCAACGGAAAGTCACGCGGCCGTCCTAGAGTTATCCAAGGTGATTCCAGAGGACAGGAGGGTTTTGCACAGTGTTTTTGTGACATAGGTTGCAGTTGAGGGATTAAAAAATTCAGGTCCGGTCCCTCCTGGATCCCTTGTTGCAATTTCTTCCTTTTACGTTAAGTGACGGCGCGCTGAGCATGCGCCTCCATGACCACGGTGTTGGGTTCAGGATTCGGCATTTATGGTTCAGAGCTCAGGTATTGGGGTTTACGCGAGTGCGTTTGATTACGGAAGCAGTCATACCAGCCCGCAAGCACCGCACTGAAGCCTATGACCCTAAACCCTAAACCCCTAAACCCTAAACCCCTAAACCCCTAAACCCCTAAACCCTAAACCCTGAACCCTAACCGTAAACCATCAACCCGATAAACCCAAACCTGAGAGCCTACAGCCTAAACCCCAACGGGGTCCCACCGGTCTAAGAGCCTGAGGCCCTCTGAACTGTGAAGCCTCAAAGCTCTTCTGAAACTCGGTTTAGGGTTTAGGGTTTTCGGTTTAGAGCCCCTGAATCCTAAATCCCAAACCCCTGAACCCCAAACTCCCTTCCAAAACAGCCATCAAGGCTGATTTTTGAAACACGCCGGAAGAAAACAATAATATAGGGGCGTTAATAATTAGAATAGGGTTCAGGGGCCCATGATACTCTAATTAAAATAAGGAACCCCCACAATGATATAGGCAATCATTAAGGCCCCTTTCTTAAGGCATGAAGCAGGGTCGGTATTCTTGGCGGATTCAGGCCGCAGGGTTGATGATTTGGGAACACGTGACCTGGCTGTTACAAAGGCTTCGAAGGAGAATAGACCAGATATACTAAACCCCCAAAGCCCTAAACCTAAACTAGCCTTCAAAAGGAAGCTGCCCTGCAACCCGAGGCTGCCAAAGAATCCTCCCAAGCGCCCCAAGCCGCCAAAGAAGCCAAAGCTCTTGGAGTTCAAGCTGCTCGGTGAGGGTTTCGGGTTGAGGATTTAGTGTTTTGGGGTTTTAGGGTTTGGGGTTCAGGGTTAAGGGTGAGCGGTTTCGGGGGTTTAGGATTTAGGGTGGCAATTTACGCAGGGTTTAGAGGTTTAGGGTTGGGGTTTTGTAAGAACGACGGATGTTCCATATAACATTACATGGGTTCCGATGCGGATCCTGCTTTGGTTCTAACAGGCCCTGCGGCTCCATGCAGGGGTTTAGGAGTGAGTTCAGGGTTTTGGAGTTTGGGGGTTTTAGACTTGCTTCTCCGGAGATTGGGTACTGCCCCCACTCAGTAACATAATATAGATATATTAGGACCTTAATAGTATCCCGATTATAGACTGTTACTGTATGGGGGCAGTACCCAATTTGGAGAGATTGTTCCGCAAGGCTCCGACGCCTTAGCCAGTCAATACTCCCTTCATCTGGGGTTGATTCTCAACGACGCCAATCATGATACAGGGAATAGACATTAATCTCCATCAAAAAGGATGCCTGCATGGTGGTTCTGACTACAGCTAGCCGCAAAAGAAGAGCACGCAAACCCCGAAATCCTCAACCAGGAGCAGGAAGAGACCCGAAGCCCCAAACTCCTAAACCCTGGACTGTCCTAACCCTCAACCCTCGTTTAAAGGGGTATCCCAAAGGATCCATGTACCTTTATAGTAGATACTTAGGCCTTAAAGGGGTCCCTATATGGGTGCTTTAAGGCCTAAAAGTATCTACTATAAAGGTACATGGAGCCTTAGGGTATATTGGGCTCTCTGGAGCAGAAAGAGGCCCGAGATGCCGACCTATTCGGACAAGTGTGTCGGTGCCTTCGCTGCAGGGTGGCTTGTGGCGCTGTTCCTTAAAGGGCAACGTTATCCTAAAGGGTTCCTTAACGGGATCTAATTTAAAGATATATATATATATATATATATCTCTCCTGTTTCTCCTGTTTGGGGCGATGAGTCGTGTCGACGCGGCCCTTTGTGGGATGCACCTAATTAAAGCCCCACCTGAAAGAGGCGGTGGGCCCCTCATGCGCCTCGCTTCGGCTAGCGAGAAAAGCGCCAACGCCCCGGAGCAGAAATCTACTCGAAGGTAGTGTGCACTCGGGGCAAAATCGCAAGAGGCATGATGCATACCGTGAAGCGGCAGGTATTCCTTACAGTCGGGTCCCGTGTAGGCCATCCATACCGCTGGGACCCTCATGCAAGGCCACACTAAAGGCACAGTGACTGCGTATGCACCCTTTGGGCCAAGCGAAAAGGAAACAACTATCCAAACAAAAACACTAAAGCACAGAAGATATGCACAGGACATGCCGTAAGGCGTCAAGCCAACAGGCTGACAGATGAGATGCGCATGGTCAGCATCTCATCGTGTATGGGCCGCAGCGATTCAGGATCGGCAACCCTGGGAACTCAACTTGAAAACATCACATGCTACTGTACGGTGCAGTAACAATACAAACTACTCAGGGGGCAATCGGCTCAGGAGTATTCCCCACTGGTACTCTTTGCCGGCTTTCTCGGCCTCCTTCACGGTTTCATGGACGTGAAGGAGGTACTTGTTGTCGAAGGAGCCGACGGCTTCGGACTGGTAAACCCTTTCTGCGGTAACCCAGCTAAAGCTCTGCAGGCTGCTTGGTAGTCGGCTTCCCTCAAGGCTCCGGTTGAATAGCCAAGCGCCAAAAACCGCAGGATGCTTGGTAGTCGGCTGCCCGCTAGGCTCCGGTAGAACGTGCAGCCAAAAGCCAAACTCCGCAGGCTGCTTGGTAGGCTGCCCTCTGGGCTCCGGTTGTACACACAGCCAAACGTCAAACTCCGCAGGCTGCTTGGTAGTCGGCTGCCCTGCCGGCTCCAGTTGAACGCATAGCCAAACGCCAAACTCCGGAGGCTGCTTGGTGGTCGGCTGCCCTCAAAGCGCCGGTTGAACGCAAAGCCAAACGCCGAACTTCGCAGGCTGCTTGCTAGTCGGCTGCCCTCTTGGCTCCAGTCGAACACATAGCCAAACGTCAAGCTTTGCAGGCTCTGGCTAAGATGGCGACCCACACGCCAAACTCTGCAGGCTGCTGAGGAGTTGGATACCTTCCAAGCTCTGGTTGACATTGACATGGTGAGCAAACGACAAACTCCGCAGACTTCTGGGCAGTTGAATGCCCTGGTTGGGCTCTCGGCCGGGACGCAAGTGTCGTACCCGTTTCCCATGGCGGGCGATGTTTGGGGTACTGGGGCGCATCGATCTTCCTACCAGCCTCGCTGGTGAGGCAATTCGGGCCCTATATATATATATATATATATATATATATATATATATAAGGGTTCAATAAAGGGATCAATAAGGGTTCCTTGGAGGAGATCCATAAGGGTTCCTTCAAAGAGATCCATAAGGGTTCCTTAAAGGGATCTATAAGGGTGCCTTTCAAGGGATCTACAAGGGTTCCTTTAATGGGATCTGTAAGGGTTCTATCTTCAAGGGAATTAAAGAACGATAGTCATAGTACGTAGGATCTGTTTTGTTTGGGGCTTAGCTGTGCGGGGTGTAGGGGGTACACATTGGGTATACAGGGCTTGGGATTCACTTGTTAGGGAGAACTATTTAGGGTTTAGGCTGCAGGTGTGTCGATTGCAAGGGGAAGTGCCTGCTAGACTGCGCATCCTGTGCGGCTTCCTGCGAATTGGATGTGCCTCTATGCACGCCAGACAAGACTCCAGCACCTCAATTCGACTCCAAACCCGAAACCCTAAACCCTTAAACCCTAAACCCCAAAAGGCAGCATCCCTTCGACTCCCAGCCCAGAGAAACCAGGGATCAACTGCCCCCGAAACCCAATAACTCATCCCCGGGCCTTCTACCCGGAATAGCCCCCGAGCCTAAATCCGAATACACCCCTGTACAGCCCTATAAGACCCTGGGAACCCTATGATGCAGGCCTTATGAAACCTACGGACCTTCATAAAGTGCTATTCCTGCAGGGCCTTACGAGGCCTTATCCAAACCCCGCGGAACCCCATGCAAAGATGTGTGAATGCCCTGGACAGCGCCTCCCAAAAGATTGTACATACCCAAATTAATGCCATTGCCTGCAGAGGCCCGAAATAACCCTTACACCCGAACTCCTGATCCCCAAATCCCCAAACCCCCAGACTCTCAACCTCGACGACTCCTTCTACGAACTCCTGTAAATCCATCTAAAGCCTCACAAAAGCCTTTATTGACAACCCTTCAAAACTCCATAAAGCCCCAAAGCGAGGTCCAAAAAACGGCAGAATAAGGCCCAAAACCTTAAGCAACCTTAAACCTAAACCTCAAACCCCAAACCCGAATCCCAAAGCCCAAAAGCCCTAGCGGCTGAGAATATGGCGACCTCTGGAAAAACATCCACGAGACCGTGGCCAAAGCCTCAGATCCGCGAAGAGATGCTTCGGGATAACCTGGACCCTGAAGAACCTACCTTTTTGAGCACTTATAGAAGGAAATCATAATAAGGAACCCTAAACGGTAGGTTCTTTAGGGTCCAGGAAGACCACCTAAACTTTGTTTGTGGGTTTCGGGCTTAGAGCTTTGGGCTTAAGGTTAAGATCCCGAAACTTTTTCGGGAGTTTAGTGCTTAGAGCTTTGGGCGTAAGGTCAAGATCCCCATTTTTTTCGGGTTTAGGGGGTTTAGGGCTTAGAGCTTTTGTTTAAGGTCAAGGCTTTAGGGTTTAGAGCTTTAGCCAAAGCCTCAGACGGGCGAAAAGTTGCTTCGTGATCCAACAAGCACGAAGCCTTTGCAGTGTTTAGGGTTTCCAAGGTTTTGTTGTGTTGTGGTTTAGGGTTTAAGGTTGTTCGGTTTAGGGTTAGGGGTTTAGGGTTAAGGGGTTGGGAAGTTTTAGGGTTTAGGATTTAGTGTTTAGGGATCAAGAACCCCGAAATCTTGAGGCTTCGTCTGGGATACTCATAGTTCACGGGGCTTTTTCATACTTCAAAAATCTTTGGGACTTGTTACTCAAAGGGACCATTATGAATTATGACATAAAAGTCTATGCTAGGGTTTAGGGGTTTAGGGTTTAGGGTTTGAGTCTATGCATTTTCTCCTTGGTTACTTCAAAACCCGGTTCAGGATCTTATGAGTTGCGTGGCCAAAGGCTCAGCGAAGGGCTAATTAAGAAACCTTGGGCCTCTATTAGGGCTCCTTAAATGAATCCTACCATTTGGGGGTTATAGGCCCAGGATCTTAATTAGGTTCCTCACTAGTCTTAACGTCATGTTGCTTTAAAGGGTTTGTCTTTTTTGTTTGGGGAGGTTTGCTTCTGGCGTGTCTGGCGCTCTATATGTCTTAAAAGGGTTAAGATAAAAGGTGGTGAAAAGAGTTTATGAGGGTGCGCAGGTTCTTTTGGCAGCAACTGGCGTGTGGCTCTGGGTTTTACAGTTTGTCTGGCAGAAGACGAGGTATCGCGTTCAATTCGGTTCGAGAGTGTGAGCTCTGTGGAGTGGACCGGGTAGACGGTTTGGGGGTTTGGCTTGGTAAGTCCATGTGGTACCCGAACCATTCAAGGCTTCCGTCTCATATTTGTAGTATACTATGCCCCATATCCCACTTCTAACCATTAAGGCCGATTAAGGCCCCTTCATTATGTACTGTCGGTGGCACTTTGGAAGGGAAGGTCTTTATTTCCCAACCCTAAACCCTAAACAACCCTAAACCAGCCCTGATCTATGGCCCGGGCTTAGATCAACGACGTCGGGGAGGAGGAAGCCACCGTCAACAAGCTTGAGACGGAAGAGGACCTGAGATGAGCAGGGATAAGGGTTTAGGGGATAAGGTATAGGGTTTAGGGTATTCTGCTGGATTTAATTTAGTCAGGTTTTGTAGTATGGGCTTCATGAGGTTTGTGTGCACATAGACCACTGGCTTAACCCGCCTCCCTGAGCAATGAAATACAATTGTAAGAATCCTCAGATTACGTCGTTTGGGGGTTTGGAGTTGTCATTGAGGTGTGACGGGAACCTCAGTCAAAGCCTGGGACAAGATTGCGCTTCAGGGTTTTAAGGTGTCGCATTTGGGATGGCTTTCAGGCTTTCGCCGAATCGGAACTTGCAGGAAGCATAAGAACCATAATGCAGGCCCCTGATTATCGAAGCCCCCCTACAATAAAACGGATCGTAGCGATAAGGATCCTACTATGAAGGCCCTTTCAGACATCCTGGGCGTATTGGTCCGGCTCTAAACTAAACCCTGGGCCCGAAACCCTAACCTGTTGCAGGGTTTCGGGATAGACCCTCACCTTCATCTGTGGGGTTGTCAAAATTATGGTCCCTTTTTGGGTAGCCTAAATATTAGGTGCCGTATTATAGTAGGGACCCAAGAAGGGACCCTAATATTGACAACCACCCATCTGAGATCTGACAAAAGCTGGAAGTTATCCCAGCACTATTTGGCCTTCATCCGGTTTCCAATTTTATGGGGTTTACTGTATATTTACAACCACCCATCTGATCCTCTCGCAGGAGGAAGGAGCCGGATATCAAGATGCACATCCCTGCGATGTGGCTGGCGATGCAGGTTCGACCTTTTCTCAAACCCAAGAAAGGGAGCTCCAGAAAGTTGGAATATGGTTTCAGGGTAGGATCCCCTATAATTTACCTTAAAGGGTTTAGGACAATCATATTCCAACTTTCTGGCTTTTACCTTACCCCCCTGATGAAGCAAGATGCCTTCAACTGTAGAATCAGAAGGCTCCTAGTATCCGGTATTGAAGGAAAACATACCCTTCGACTGTAGAAGGATGTGGTCTAAGGTTTATCTCTGACTGGAGGAAGATACCTTACATAAACTATAGAAGGATCTGTAAAATAACACAAGATGGACGGTGGCTAGCATAAACGACGGAAGGATCCGTAATACGATCTAAGGAAGATCCCTCTGTAAAGGAATAAACCTCAACTTGATAGAAGGATCCGTAATAATATTATGTCTGGTGTATTTTGTCCTCTGGTGGGGTTTTCTTGTCATAGCTGGTGTTCCCCAAACCCGAAATCCTATAATCCTTATAAGCCCTACACAGGCCCTAAACACTATAAGCCCCCTAAACCCAGTAAGCCCGACGCCCTATAGGCCCCATAAGCCCCATAAGCCCCACAAGCCCCAAGCCCTAAACCCTAAACCCTAAACGGATCTAGCTGGTCGAAAAAGGGGCGCTTAAACAAAAAAAACCTTAAACCATAAGCCCTATATAAGCCCTTTGAACCACGGCCTTCATGCAGATTTTCGGATCCGCGGCTCTTTCTTCACGGCCGCGGCTTCATATTTCGGGGATGGAGGTAGCGGTTTACACACGTCCCCCGGGTTTCGGTTTTGTTGTCTGTTCGTTGCAAGTTTTAGGGTTCAGTCAGGGTTCAACCCCTCGGGTGGGTTTTTGGAGGGTGCCCCGGCAAAGCACTACCGGTGAACGAAGGAAGAAAAGCCTTGAAGTCGCGTCGCCTCCTGTGCCTGCTACATCCGAGACTTGTCCAAGCCCGATGACGCATCCCTGAAAGCACTTTATCCTCACAGAGCCTTACGCTCTGGGCCCTAAACCATAAGGCGTCAGCACTTGACCATGAGCCCTAAGCACTAAATCGTAGGCGGCCTTAATCCACAAAACCTAATCCTTCAACCCTAAACCAGAAACCCAAAACCTCAAACTCACCCTCCTCTGCCGGCGACGGGCAAGGCGGCACTTCAGGCAAGATTGGAGGCCACGTGATCGGAGACCTGATTCTTAGGGGTACTTAGAAATAGTTTTTAATTTGGTTATTACAAGCCCTAAGAAACAGCTAAAACTACAATTTTTGCTAGGGTTCTAAGTTCAGGATAGGATTGGTTAGGGCTCCCAACTTAGAAATTTAGGGTGAGGGCCTTTAGAAGCCGAATCTCAAAGGGGAGAAGGAGGGACCCTTAATAAGGACCCCTAGGTAATATACCCTTAATGTAGCCATTATATACAAATTATGTAGCCCCATTATAGGGTAGGGGTCCCCATAAAGGGTCCCTCCTTTTCCCCTTTGAGAATCTTTAGTGTGTTGGGGATCTAGGGGTTAGAGAGTTTGGGGGGTTTGCATAGGGTCTTGGGTTTAGGGGTTTGGGGTTTAGGAGTTTCGGGGTTTGGGTTTAAGGTTCAGGGTTTAGGGTTTAGGATTCAGGGGTTAGGGGTTTAGGGTTTGGGGCTTGGGGGTTTATTGGTCGAGCTAGGTCTAGGGCTTGGCTTAAAGGTGTGCTAAGGGATCTTCGCTTCAAGGAGCTGGCACATGCATGGGTGATTCTGGTTTAGGGGTTTAGGGCTTTAGGGGCTTTAGGGGCTTAGGGGTTTGGGGCTTAGGGTTAAGGGGTTTAGGGTTTAGAGTGAAGACTGAACTAGGAATGTCTAATCATCAGGCGGTCGCCGTTGTGTTTGCTCTGCAGGTCTTTTGGGTGTTAAGCCTTACTGATGTGGCCAAAGTTTCCACAAGTACTATATGTAATGTACCTTTGCCAGGTACCTGGGTTACGATAGGCTGTCTGAGCAGGGGCCACAACGAGGAGGCCTGAGGCAGGGCTGGACGGTGCAGGCGAAAGTGATCCTTTGATGATGATGGTAATATGGGTGCTATCTGCGGGTGGGTTTCCTTACTATTATTATAATAGAATGGGCCCCAAAACCCTATCCTAATTAATTTTTAAGGCCCTGTATTATAGTACCCTTATCGATCCCTTATACTAACCCTTAAAGGAACCCTTTAAAGAAACCCATATTATACTTATTAAGGCCCCCATATTAGCCAACCTTTGGGGCAATGGATCGGTCTTGCCGAAGGAGGCAGCTGGCACTACTGTTGTTGATATAAATCCTGCATTACACAAAATAAGGAATATACCATAGTTCCCACAGTTTAGGGTCCTTAAGGTAATGCATCAGCTTAAGGACCCTAAACTATTGGAATTCTAGTATATTCCTTGTCATGGGTAATGCAGGGTTTATACCATCAACCGTAGGGGCGTAAAGACTTGGTAGCGAGTAATCACCAGTACTATTTTAGGGGCTCCTCGTGAGATTTATAGTATAACGAGCCCCCAAACCCCATTCTAGCTATTAAGGCCCCTCTATTAGAGTACCCTTACAGTATCCCTCATACATCCCCGTAAAAGGAACACCATTCTAATTATTAAGGCCCCTATATTCCCTTAACGTGGCATCATTTAGAGGATCACGCCATCCTGAAGTTCCCTGGTCCGTGGGTACCTACAGTCTCCATTGTAGTTCCTTTTCTTGGTTAACCAGTTTTATGGTTGGTGTCCTATAATAGAGATCTTGGTTAACCAAAAAAAGGAACTACAATTTTATGGTTGGGGTCCTATAATAGAGATCTTGGTTAACCAAAAAAAGGAACTACAATTTTATGGTTGGGGTCCTATAATAGAGATCTTGGTTAACCAAAAAAAGGAACTACGATTTTATGGTTGGGGTCCTATAATAGAGATCTTGGTTAACCAAAAAAGGAGCTACAATTTGATGGTTGGGGTCCTATAATAGAGATCTTGGTTAACCAAAAAAGGAGCTACAATTTGATGGTTGGGGTCCTATAATAGAGATCTTGGTTAACCAAAAAAGGAAATACAATTTTATGGTTGGGGTCCTATAATAGAGATCTTGGTTAACCAAAAAAGGAAATACAATTTTATGGTTGGGGTCCTATAATAGAGATCTTGGTTAACCAAAAAAAGGAACTACAATTTTATGGTTGGGGTCCTATAATAGAGATCTTGGTTAACCAAAAAAAGGAACTACAATAGAGACTTGTATTTAAAGACAGAAATCAGGGCCCTGAAGCCCCGAAGACCTGAGGTCCCCGAACCTCAAAACTGCTGCAAAGCTTGGGCCGAAAAGCCAAGACCCCCAAAAGAGCCCTAAACCCTGGCCTACACACCTGAAACACCCTAAACCCTAAACCCTAAACTCAACCCTACACCTGAAACTCCCTAAAGCCTAAAACCCTAAACTCAACCCTAAACCCTAAACCCTAAACCCCGAAACCCTAAACTCAACCCCAAACCCTAAACTCTAAACTCAACCCTAAACCCTAAACTCAAACCTAAACCCTAAACTCAACCCTAAACCCTTAGCCCTCAACCTTCAACCTTACGCAACTCCGTACGTCTTCGACTGTCGCAGCCAGGCGGGGACGGAAGCGATACCCGTGACCAGATGCCGTATGACCAGCTCCTCGCCCACGGACTCTTATTCTATCGACCGAATAGCTCTTTTGCACTAGTAGATAGCGACATACTGATATACTAGTAGTATTCCCTTGTTGTTTAAGCATAATATCATCCCCCTATTCCGCTGATTCAGGCTCCATGTTGATTTTGTTTCGCAGCTTCCCTTGGCAGTAGTTCACTCCAGGGCCTCGCGCAGAGCATTGTGTCTGAGATCTGGGTGGTTGTCAAAATTAGGGTCCCTTTTTGGGTACCTTAAATAATAGGTGCCGTACCATAATAGGGACCCAAAAAGGGACCCTAATTTTGACAACCACCCATCTGAGATCTGACAAAAGCTGGAAGTTCCGGAAGCCCTTGAAGTTGCGAGGCCGACTGCTGCTACTACTACTACTACTACTACTACCACTACTACTACTACTACTACTACTACTACTACTACTCCTACTACTACTACTACTACTACTACTACTACTACTACTACTACTACTACTACTACTACTACTACTACTACTACTACTACTACTACTACTACTACTACTACTACTACTACTACTACTACTACTACTACTACTACTACTACTACTACTACTACTACTACTACTACTACTACTACTACTACTACTACTACTACTACTACTACTACTACTACTACTACTACTACTACTACTACTACTACTACTACTACTACTACTACTACTACTACTACTACTACTACTACTACTACTACTACTACTACTACTACTACTACTACTACTACTACTACTACTACTACTACTACTATACTACTACTCAGTTCCGACACTTCATAATGTAGGAACCTGATTAAGAAGCCTTGGGCCTTTATTAGGGTTCCTGATATGTATCCTACAATTTTGGGTTTTCAGGACCAGTGCTTCTTACTCCTACATTACCTGTCCTGTATTCTTGGGTCCATGATATGAATCCTGCATTACCTCAAGGACCCTAAACTATGGGAATTATGGTATATTCCTTATTATGGGTCATGCAGGATTTATATCATCAACTGAAGGACCCCTAAAGCCATGATGCGCAATCCCAACTCCACGAAGCCCAAGACCTCCACCCCTTTTGGGTTGGGGATCTACGGGGGTTTTAGGGTTTAGTCAGGGTTTACGACGCTAAACCCTACTTGGAGGTTCATGGGTAGTTATAAGCGGGGTTATAAGTCCCCTAATACGGGTTATAACTATAGTTACCCTACTTATAACCCTACTTATAAGTACTCTTGAACCTCCAAGTAAGGCTAAACCCTTAAACCCTAAACCCCTAATTCCTAAACCCTACGGCTTGAAACGCTGAGGCTGGACGGCTGCCATGCTCGCGACATCGAAAGAGCTCTGGTGGATGGCAAGGACGGCCTGCTCCTGTTCACGAGCCGGCTCAGGGTTAGGGTTTAGGGTTTTGGGTTTTGGGTTCAGGGTTTTGGGTTTAGGGCTTGCGGGAATGGAGCTGTAAAGCTGTAACTTACCCTAAACCCTAAATCCTAAACTCGAATGTTCAAGGCTTACGGATTAGTCTAGTCTCAGTGGTTGGTGGATTTTTCATCTGGTTTGGACTTGGCCCTTAGCTTTTCTATGCAAGACCGTTTAATACCCCAGATTCAGAAACATCCCCGTTAACGGCCTCAGTATTCGGATCTCATCGGCAATCCCTGAGCTCTACATCACTAAACACTTGTAGGTGCCAGAATTGTGGCTGCAGGGTTCTGTCTCTTCCGGGACGCGGGGTGTGTCTTTCTGCACGGGATCACTCCCCAGGCCCCTGAAACCAAGCCTAGTCTGGTGATCTCTTTCCTGACTTCAACCGTGCCTCTGGGACGATGGAGCTCAAAAGGGGACGGCTGCACCCTAAACGGCAAGCCCTAAGCCCGAATGCAAAAAGGAACTCTAACAAAGCACAAATCATCGGAGAGCTCTCGTGGCTTCAAGTCGACCAAATCCTGGGCCCGACTGCGAGGCGTGTTGTAAAAGTTGGGAGGAGTTTTGGGTTGTGGAAGGTATCGCCTTCCGTATTCATTGGGTTCAGAGTCTTGTGTTGGTCTCCAGGGAAGACTGAAGCCGGGTTGGTAGCCCGAGCCGTGGACCATGACATGTACTAGACTCCAATTTTTCATTGTTAAGTTCATGTTTATGTTTTAGTCTTTTTGATTTTTGTTCGAACCCACCATTTGAAAATAGAAAAACAACCGAACTAAACTCGAACAAGATCGGGGAAAACACGAAAACAGCCCCCCTGCGTAACAGGCCGCCTGTGGGGTCCCCCACACCGACTACCACTTTGATTTTATTTTTTTGTGTTCTTCCTTTGTTTGATCTTTCTGGCGCCTTGATGATGTCCTTTTTCGATTATTAGTGTGTTGCGTCGCTTCATGTCTGATTTTGTTCGATTTACAAGTTGCCTTTTGACTTCCTGTCTTATAAGGGAGTTGAATGATAACATTAGAGTCAGAGGCAGGGGGGTCTGACAAGGGTTTCTGGTTTAAGGTTGCTGGCTTTGGGTGTTGTTGTGCTGCTGATTTGGTTATTCAGCCCTCTAAACCCATTTGGTTTATGCCGCCCTATAAACCCCAATATAAACCCCCACAGACACCCTTCATTTATGTACCCACAGCCCTATAAAGACCCACAACAAAAAATGATCACTCTGCCGAACACCCGCAGCAAAAAACACGCCACGGACCCCGGATGTCGTTTTGCAGCGGATGCTCGGTGGCGGCGGACAGCAAGTGAGTGAGTGAACTTGCCGCGCACCCGCAGCAAACAAAGCGCCGCGCACACGCAGCAAAAAAAGCACCCACAACACAAAAAAAACAACACTCTTATCAAACCCTAACCCCTAAGCCGTAAAACCCAGAGCCCTAAGACCCCTAAGCCCGAATAACACCCCTTGAAACCCAATGACACTCCTGAACCCATCGCTTCGCAGGAAACCTTTTGGCACGACAGCTTCGAAACGTCGGTTGACTTGGCCGACAACATCGCCGGACTGGTGCACTTCTGAGAATCTTTAGGCTTGAGGTGTGCAGGGGTTGAGAGTTTTGGGATTCGTTCAGAGTATTGGGATGGAAAACCCAAAGTGTGAGGTTGAAGACTGCATTTCATAGTTTTTCCTTCTGAGCTTATAGCTGAATGAGGCCCTGGCCAGAAATCCTGCATATCAAGTCTGAGCATAACCAAGCGGGTATATATTCCGTAGGTGAGGGATAGTGGGCTCTATGGGAACTCCGAACCCGAAGCCCTCAACCGTGTTTTCCCTCCTCCAAACCCTGACGTCTTCCATAATGTAGGAACCTGATTAAGGGAACCCTGGGCCTGCAACCACCAAAACTGGGCTGTGGAGTACCATACTTTAATACTTTTTTCTTAAAGGAACCCTTATGAAATTAAAGTTTATACTTTTTTCTCCCTGGTTACTTAAAAGCCCAGAAAAATAGTAGGATTCATATAAGGAGCTCTAATAAAGGCCCAAGGTTTCTTAATCAGGATCCTAGATTACCCCGCCTCCACCCCAAGATTTCAGGCCCAGCAACACCAACCTTCAAGTAAGTAAAACCACAGAAACCACAGAATAAACGTCAAGCTCCCCTGTCAACCCTTCACAACAAATCCTTCTCAAACCCTACCCACCCCCTTTTTCCCAGCAAAAACCTTCACCTCGAATTCTACACCCCTACGCCTCTATAGACCCTAAATCCCTGAACCCCCACACCCACACCAAGCACCTTATAGCCGTACACAGCCCAAAGCCGCAATCCCAGACCCCCGGGAGGATCCAGAAAGTGGATCCCCTAATTTGGGGTCCTATACTACTAAGGGTACTTTAAAGGAACCCCCCACTAAGGGATCTACTTTTTGGATCCTCCCGGGGGTCTGGGATATAAACCCTAAACCAGCAACCTCCCTAGACCTGGAGCCTCCCGAGCACCAAAGCCTAAACTGCCGAAACAGGCCCCACACCCTGAACCCTACTTAGACCCTAAACCCTAAACCCTAATGAGACCCTAAGCTGGAAGCTAGCCTTTGCTCTTTGTTGGAGCTTTCGTGCTCTGAGTTTGAGCCTTTGTACTGTTTGTCTGAAACGGAGAAAGGTGTTGGGGTAGAGGGTCACAGTCTAGGGTCTTTCACAGCGTTTAGGGTCCGAAATCGGAGCATTTGGCCAGTCGTCAGACCCCAATCCCAGACCCCCGGGAGGATCCAAGAAGTAGATCCCTTAATGGGGGTTCCTATAAAGTACCCTAAGTAGTATAGGGGATCCACTTTCTGGATCCTCCCGGGGGTCTGGGATATTGTTCATGTAGGATATACCGATGCCTTGGTAGCTGCCCTGGACCCAAAACTCATACATCCCTGTAAGACCCCAGAAGGCACCCAACTTGGGTTTAGGGTTTAATCCCTGAGAACGCGCTGGGCCCAGATCTGCACAGTGATCCCCATTGCTGCAATCGAGCCTTTCGGCGCTTGGTCCTCGGAGCACTCCGCGAGGGCTTAGGGCTTATTAGGGTTCATGGTTTAGGTAGGAAGCAGACAGGTTTCTGCTGGAATTCGGGGCCTTGGGGTTCTAGTGCTGACAGCATAGAGTTCCCAGACAATCGGCATCCCTCGGCTGTACGCCGCTTGCATCGTAACCATCACCGTCGTCATGATCATCGTCAGAATCATCGCCACCACGGTCACTGTCAGCATCACCATCACCATGATGACCACACGCATCAACACCGTCATTGCGATGTCATCAGCATGGTGATCCACCTTTGTTCGCTCCTTTTGGCCACCACCATCTTCGCAATCCTCACCATCACCAGAATCCCTTTCATCACCTACATCGTGTTCACCACGGTAGTGATAGTCGTCAGGCCCGTGACCACAATGCTTGTCGCTGTTCCTCCTCATCTCGTTCAATACCTCCTTGTGAGAAAACCTGCTTGTCTAGCAGGGTTGAGCTGTAAGCCTTTTTGGAGGAAGTGGTGAAACCTTTTTGTGACGTTTCGATTGTCAAGTTTTGGCCAAGCAACTGGCAGGCAAGATGCCACACAACGTAAAATCCACCACGACCACCGTTGGCAACAAAAGTGTGCGTGCACACCACTAGCTACAAGCCTATGTTATGTCTTTGCTTCGCATCCTGCTGTGTGATGGCATCAGGGAGCATGCCACGACATGCCAGCACAAGCTTGTCTTAGCTATGTTGAAGCTTTCGCTGCCCACTTGTGCAGTGCATTTCAGGTGCCTTTGGGGTGCGTTTCAGGTGCGCTTCAGATTCTTGGCATTTGGCAATATGGTGCATTGCAGGTGCGTTTCAGGTGCATTTCAGGTGCGCTTCAGCGTGGTCGGCGATTGTGGTCGACAGGGTCCTGGCCGTCGGTTGGTTCGGAACCCCCAGGATAGGTTGCTAAGGCTTGTAGGCCTAAAGTCACGGTTAAAGTCGGGTAGACGAAGACGGCCATTCCATGAGGACCAGCTGCTGAACCAAGGGGACCAACAGCGGAGTCAGAGATGACTAACAAAATTGATGCTGGGGGCTGCTTGTCGCGAACCCCCAGGATATGTTGCTAAGGCTTGTGGTCCTATTCTGGGGGTTTGATTGTGTCTGCTGCAGCGCTCAGTTTGTGGCTGCTACTTGCAGCCATAACTTGCATTGCTGGAGCCAGTTGTCCGCATGCTCTTTTTTAACCCCGACAATTGCTTGCTAAGACTTGTGGTCCTGTCCTGGGGGTTCAGGAGAAGCAATCCACGGCATCAGCTTGGAAAGTGATCTCTGACTGCGCTGTTGGTCCCCTTGGTTCAGCTGCTGGTCCTCATGGAATGGCCGTCTTCGTCTACCCGACTTTAACCGTGACTTTAGGCCTACAAGCCTTAGCAACCTATCCTGGGGGTTCCGAACCAACCGACGGCCAGGACCCTGTCGACCACAATCGCCGACCACGCTGAAGCACACCTGACATGCACCTGACACGCACCTGCAATGCACCATGTTGCCAAACGCCAAGAATCTGAAGCGCACCTGAAATGCACTGCGCAAGTGGGCAGCGAAAGCTTCAACATAGCTAAGACAAGCTTGTGCTGGCATGTCGTGGCAAGCACTTTCATGGGCTTGTGCTCCGAGATCATCCAAGCAGGAGAGATAGGAAGCAAAGGGATTGGGCTTGGAGGCATTCGATGTTGTTCACGTGCGTAGTGGATTGTCAGTCCAAGTCAACTTGACGGCACGAAAACGTGCTCTCGGCAACGCAACCTTTCTAAGTTGCGACTGAACTTTTTGGTTCAAGCCAAAGTCGTACAGCTCAACCCTGTCTAGGCGGAGCTTTATGTACTCTACGGTTGAGTTTATTGTTGTGGCTGTTGCCCCCACGTCATGCTCTTTCGAGTCCCTACTACTCATGGCATCTGTAGGCTCTGGTTGCATTGCGCGAGCAACCGTCGGCTACGACGAGCCCCTAAACCCATGCAGGAAGCAGCGCGGTGTGAAGACTTCTTCCCAGTGACACCTGACACCAATCAGGAGAGCCTGTGGAAAGCTCGGGCCCGGTCAACTGGAAATAACAACAACAGTTTTTCCAGGTAAAAATGAAAACACAAACAATAATCATGACAATAATTGTGCTCATTAGTAGGAATACAAGCGATCATCATCATAGTAATGATACGAAAGAATGAAGTATGAATCCCTTCCCCTTAATTGAAGAGTCGCCCCCCCCTTCCCTCCCCCAAATATAAAAACTGGATTTCGTGGCCGAAGTTTTCACATTATACAGCGGAGGGGTTTCGGGACATCCGGGTTGAGTGGGACTGGGAGTAATACTGAGCCGGACACAAAGACCGGCCATCACGCAGCCGTCCAGGCTGTAGGGAAGAAACTCGAAGCCTTGATCCCTAAACCCTAAAGCCCCAAAGCCCTAAAGCCCCTGAACCCCCTGAAGCCCTAAACCCTAAACCCCTAAAGCCCTAAACCCTAAACCTTTAAAACCCTACCCTAAAACCCTAAACCTCGGCCCCAAAAGCTTATGCCCTACACCCCTAAACCCTGACGCCCTGACGCCCTGGCCCTTTTTGGTTTAGTACTTCTGTAGTCTTGGCTTTTTTTAAGACTGTTACAATCCGAGGCCCCCCGAATGTTTCTACTTAGCTTTCAATTGTGGGCCCGAAACCGCGGAATTTCGGGGGCCGGGAGTTTTTATATTAATGGAGGCTTTAATGTTAGGGGGCAGCGATTACCCTACGCCCTGAACCCCAAATCCTAAACCGTAAGCCCTGAACCCCAAACCCTACACCGGAAACCCTAAGCCTTGAAACCCAAACCCTAAGCCCTAAACCTTAAGGCCCTGAGCCCTAAGCCCTGAACCACAAACCCCAGCCTGCCTGCCGGCAGAGGCCGGAGTCTCCATTGCAGCGCAAGACACCTGCAGCGGCATCAAGGATGTTTCATCCTTGATGATTGGAAAAGCGTTTCTTGGGGTACAGTATAAGTATATTAAGGAACGCTGCAAACAGTGTTGGTAACTATTGCGTGCTGTTGCTGCTGATGCTTGTGGTTCTTTGTTGCTGGTGTTGCTGGTTTTGTCATTGTTAATATGATGAATATTCATATTATTATTGTGGTTGTTGTTGTTGTTGTTGTTGTTGCCGTTGTCGTTGTTGTGGAGGTGTTGTTGGTGCGGTTCTGCTGCTGCTGCTGCTGCTGCTGCTGCTGCTGCTGCTGCTGCTGCTGCTGCTGCTGCTGCTGCTGCTGCTGCTGGTTATGTGTTGCGGTTGTTGTTTATATTGTTTTTGTTATTGCTAATGTTAGTGCGATTGCCCTTCTTGCTACAACCATTACTTTCGACTATGTTTCGTGTACTTGTAATAAAGGTGTCACTGTGCGGAGAGTTAACTAAAGGCCCTTCAGTTTGGTGAAACTCGTATGTCAAATGCAGGTCGCGTTGGGCGGCATTGTTTGGCTGAGCAAATTGTAACCACAATATGCAGGCGTTATGATATCTGAAATGTCAGCCAGCGCCCAGTGGGACTGTGGGAACAGCCAAGCGAGACTAGCAAGTGCATACATCAACAATCGCCGCACAAATCCCAATGTGAAGGATACTGAGAATAAGCAAAATCTTAGCAGCTCCGAATTCCGATCCAAGGGCTGCTCAGTTTGCTATTTAGAGTTTGGGGTTAAGCCGGTTAGGGTGTCTGGTGCGGCTAGATGGTGTCCGCAGTAATCTAGTCAGATTTTGCTTTTGGCTGCCGGCATCCCACTTGGTGGTTTTGCCGCAGGACCTGGTCACCTCATCCATCACTAGCTCTGCGGCTTTCAGGCCTGCAGCATTCGCGGTTTCCAGCTGCAGGGGCCACTATAAACAACCCAAGCCCCTCAAGCAGGGTCCTTCCTGCCAGGTTTTCGGGCTTCAGTCTCTGCGCTTTGCATTGTTTTTTGCGGTCTTAGGTTTTCAGTGTGTAGGGTTTAGGCTTCAGAGAGTGCAGGATTTCCTTGGCATGTGAGAGCGATGTTTTGCATGGACTTCCACGGAGTTTAATTAAAGAACTTGCTTGAATTGCAGAACAAGCAAAGGGAGAGTAGCACACATACACAGGTATGTAAATACACATGTACACACACATGCATACATGCATGCATGCATACGTTCGTACGTAAGCACATACATACGTGTACACCAATGGATACCTATGTACCTAAATACATAGGAGTTCATACGTGCATACATAGGTACATGCATGCATACATACATACGTACGTACATCAATGCATACATACGTACATGCATGCATCGGAGTACATGCTTGCATACACAGGCACATACATCGAGACATATATGCAGCACGTACATACATACATACAAACATATGTAGGACATAGGTATGTAGATTCGTATGTACATGCATACTTACAGAATGACATACATACATAGTGACATACGTACATACATACATAGGTACTTACATATCTACGTACATACTTACATACATACTTAAATACGTACTTTCAGACATACATACACATACATACACATACATACACGTACATCCACAGACATATGCATACACATGCACATACACATTCGCAGACACAGCTACACATACGCATACTGGTTACCTCCTGACCCACATGCCTGCCTACCTACCTACCCACCTCCCCACCCACCGTTTTACCTACACCTACCACATACAGACATACAGACATACTTACATACCTACATGCAGACATACATACACCATTCACTCATTCCTTCATTCATTCACTCATGGGTCTATTCGTGAGTTCATTCGTTCGTCTTCGTTCGTTCATTCATGCATACATTCATTCGTTCATACATTCATTCAATCAATCATTCATCCATTCGTTCATGCACGCAGATAGCACACATATGAACACACGACTAAACAACCACAATCTGATCAACTAAATCAACACACAACTATCTCTGTCTCACTCTCTCTCTCTATGTTTGTATGTATGTATGTATGTATGTATGTAGATACAGTCAGAACAAA